ACGAATTCGTTTGAGGTGGAACTGGGCTGAAGCCTGCCCGTCGAAACGATCGCTTACTTCATTTGCGGATGAGGGGCCGGAGCGTCCTGCTGTGGGGTCTTCGGTAGAGTCGGGGGCTTCTGCTGAATGGGTGGTCGCCCCTGCTGCTGGCCAGGACCCACCGGGGCTTGTCCCTGGCCTTGGGCTGCTGGACGAGGCTGTTGGGTGGTGGGAGGCAGCTGCCTAGCTTGCTGCTGCTGGCCCGTCGGCCCTCTCTGCTGAGGCCCACCTTGGCGTTGGGGCCCTCCTTGGCCTGGGGGGCGGGGGGGCTGCTGCTGCTGCGATGGAGGGCCTCCAGGCCCAGCTTGACGGTGAGGCTGGCCCGGAGACGGCCCTGGGCCTTTAGCCTGCTGCTGAGGCCCGGGTGAGGTCTGTCGAGAGGCCCCTGGGCCTGGTTGGCGTTGGTGCTGAGGTGAGGCGTGACCACCGCCTCCAGGCCTCTGGGCCGGGTGACCCACGGGGCTGGGTTGGCGCTGAGAGGGGCCGGGACCCTGGGCTGTGGGGCTCACCATCGCCCTCTGTTGACTGGAGGGGCTGCTGGGCTGAGGGCACAGGCCCTGGATCTGCTGGCCCTGAGGAGGAGGCCTGGAGTGCGAGGGTGGGCCTTGGCGTTGGACCCCGTGTCCAGGCGGCTGCTGGGGACCCCCTGTAATGGGAAAAAAGGGGGGAAATTAATGAAACGGTTGATTCAGTCTCATTTGAACACACCCACCTCCTGCACCACACCAACAGGAGGCCTTTCAGCCTCCTCTCTAGAATCTTCTTACTAGCCCTACCCACGCAGATGAATGGCTCCCTACATCAAGGGTCCAGGGTCAGTTCACTCAGACTCCCTGCTCTCCCTCAGTCTCTGTCACTCCCTCTCTGTCTCTCTCTCTCTCTCTCCCGCCCCCATCTCTCTCCCCTTCTCTCTGTCTCTCTTGCTCTGCCTCTCTCTCTCTCTCTCTCTCTCTGTGTCTCTCGGTCTCCTCCGCCGTCTCTCTGTCTCTCTCCTTCTCTCCTCCTCTTTGTCTCACTCTCTGACTCTGTTTCTCTCTCCCTCTCTCTCTTTTTCTCTCTCTGTCTCTCTCTGACTCTCATCCCTCTCTTTCTCTCTCTCTCTCCCCCATTTCTTTCTCTCTCTCACTCTCTGTCTCTCTTGCTCTGTCTCTCTCTCTCCCGTTCCCATTCTCTGTCTCTCTCTCTCTCTCATCCCTCTCTATCTCTCCCTCTCTGTCTCTCTCTCTCTCTCGATCTCCTCCTCCCTCTCTCTGCAACGCTCTCTGTCTTTCTCTGTCTCTCCTTCTCTCCTCCTCTCTGTCTCACTCTCTCTGTCTCTGTTTCTCTCTCCCTCTCCCTCCCTCTCTCTCTGTCTCCCTCTCCCTCACTCTCTCTCTCTTTATCCCCTCACGTTTTCTCTGTCCCCCAACTCTCTGTCTCCCCACATCTCTGTCTCTCTCTGTCACACATACTCCCTCTTTCTCTCCGTCTCTCTCTCTCTGTCTCTCTTTCTCTGTCTGTCTGTCTCTCTCCCTCTCTCTCTAAAGATTCTAACTGCCGGACCATCTCAGGATCAGACCCCTTCTCTCCCGGAATTGCAGATCACCCCGACGCCCCCCCACAAAACAGGGTGAGGACAGATCCCAATATTCCTGACGTCCCGAAACAGCCCAGCTCCAATTAGAATGTTCTGACCCCCACCCGTCCATCCCAGACCAGCCCGTCTCCTACCAGGGGACTCACTGAAGCCCCCCAGGATGTGGGAAAGTCCTCAAGCCTGGCCTGTGCCACCACTCTCTGAATCTACCCCTCTCAGCGACCTCCCCCTACTCTGGGATCATGCTGTGCCCCATCCAGCAGGGGCAATGGTCCAGTCTGTTGGTGACCCCTCACCCCCATTCCTCAGGACCATGGTCCAGTCCATTGGTGAACCCTCATCCCTACTTGTCAGGGTTGGGGGTGGGGAAGGGTCGTGGAAGGGTGGGGCAGCGGTGGGGGGGTTAACTGGGGGGGG